CCAGAACAGATTTCTATACAGTTTTTCTATTTTCATTAAAAACTTGGCCTCGTGCTGTAATCAAAAGACAAACAGCTGTTTTTTTGAACCCTCAAGATGTATTTGACACCAGTGCTCATATATGTAAATATTTAAAATAAGCCCTTATTCATTAAGTATATTATCTCTAAGTTTGTAATCTTTGAGTGTAGTTTACTTAAGCACATAAAAATAGATTATATTGTTGTAAAAGTTCATAATATAGCTGATGACGATGAAAACATTTACAATGACTAATACACCTAATGAAAGCTTATTATAAGCATTTACTATAAACGATTTTACTTTACAATTTCGGCCGTACAAGCATTGAATTTCTCATATGTAGAATACTCCACAAACAACTGTGGATCTTATAAAGATTAAAATTAGTTAAAAAAAAGAGAAAAATCTCGAAATTACCATACTTGGTATGTTGTTTTGGAAATGATAACATGTTTTTTGCTTTAATTGTTGCAGAAAATTTCTAGTACCTTTGCTATCAGCAAACATGTAATCAACGGGAATTGATGATAACTTTCTCAATTTCAGAAATTGTCTCAATTTAGTGAAATAATTTATTTCAAAAGACTCTAATATGGTTTTGTGTCAAATAAATTGACCAACTTAGATAATTTTTATGTTTTATCAAAGACAACGTGCTATTCACACAACTCTAATGCTGCGCTAGCTATATTGTTTTTTTTTTATTTACTGAAAAAGAAATTATTGAACAGGTTAAGTATTTTTACAACATGTTTCTGATTGCTCTCTTTCAACTCACATATACATATTAGGAATGTTTAGTTGGTCAGGCATATATCAATCCTATGGTTTTGGAAGCTTATTGCTTTCCCATGCATTGTCGCAATGTATGTGTATTTGGTGTTGGTGGAAATACCTTCCTTCAATCGAAGAAAGATAAAATATTTTGTGGTTTAGCGTACATCAATGGTTTTGCAAAGACGTTTCGAACGAAAATTTTAGTGTTTATTGTAGATCTTTGAGGTCCATATCTTCTTTAAAATTTATTTCTTTATTTTTTGTCGATTCTCTGCTTTGCAGTGAGTCATAGCAGCATGGCAGCTTGCAGCAGCAAGCTTATGCACTGATGTTAATAGCGCTTCTTCATTTAGTATTGTTATTTTTGAATACATTCCTTTGGTCATCTGCGCAGTGTCAACTAATAGCTTGCCCTTTTGTCCCAGAAGTGTTACAAGTTGCATTGTTTTCATTTGAGAACAGAAAAGAAATATGGAGAAGTACAAATATGGTGTAGTGTACGATTTAAAACTTAAAGCTTTTCATAAATAAAACAAGTTCTCCCGGCAATGTGTTATTCCAACATTAGTGATAAAATTCTATTCTCCCTTTTCAAATTTGTCATTTCCATAGCGTACTGTACTTCATTGTACTTTGAACCAATCATAAACTTTGATAAAAAATTCAAACTTTATACCCGGACATTATAAAGGATGACCAGAGTTACATTGACGGAAAAATTTTACTATTAAAATTTCTTTTATTTACCATGGCCTAATGTGCAGGATGTAAAAAAATGAGACTTTTTGAAACTGAAGTATCGTGACGATTTCAATGTTTATGTCTTTGCTACGTCAACAAGTGCATAAATATCCCTGGAAACTTGCATTAATTTACTTTATAATAATCCGGTATTGAAATGTCAAAAAGCGATTAGCTTGTTATTGATTACCAATGGTGGCGAAATGGCTTCTAAACCCGAAAAAATACAAGAACATTTTGCCAGTGCGAAAATAAAGTTGAACTCCAACAAAAAAATATAGCATAAATAACAATTGTGCAAACGTGAAACTCAACAGCAGAATCTTTACGATGATATATACACATGAAATTGTTTGTCGAGATAAAGATGTTCATACGTAAGTAATATATTCTCATTAGTGATTCTTAATTTATCAGAGCTTGGTTATCATGTAATTGTACTTTGTAAAACTTTACATCAGTGGAAGAAAATACCATTACATGTGGGTGATATTAGATGGATTATTGACCGCCAGCAACTCATCCGTAGATCACCTTTAGGTTAAAACTACTCTCAGATAATTATTCATACAAGGGCCATCTACTTCTTTTAAGCCTCTACTGCTCATAAGTTAAAACTTTCTGTACAAACAAGAGACTCTATCTACACTAATAAAAGAATGCCTTGGAATGGCTTGCCGTTCATTATCCCTAAGCATTTCAAAATTTATTTGGAGAAATTTTGTATGGCTAATGAACTTTCATTGAAACAAATGAAAGATTGAATTCATTTCTGGAATAGAAAAAGTATCTCCTTCAATATATATTTCCTTTAGTAAATTGTTTGTAGTTAATTGTGGATAGGAATATTTGTTACCAGCAACTGATCTGCGTCAATCGGTAAACGCAAAGGTAGACATGAATGTAAACATAAAAGTAGACATAAAGGTAGACACTAAAGTAGCCTTAAAGGTAGACATAAAGGAAGACATATAGGTTGAATTAATCACAAAAAATTTGAGTATTTCGATTAAAGATTATTCATAGCTTCTAAAACGTACTCAAAACCTACCTAATGCTATATATTTTACATAACAAATGATGGAATTGATTAAAACGTGATCAGTTTAATAAAAAACAAGAGAACATGCGCGGTAAAATATATTGCTGTTTATAATTTGATTTGAAATTTGTCGTTTTAAAGACTCAAAGTTTATCGTCCAATGTGGCATCTTGTCATAAAATATGTAAAATTTGAATACTTTTTAATGTGTTTTGTTTTTGGGAACGTGCTTGTTCGCACTCGAAGCTGTGCCGCGACGCTATATTAGTTTTTAATTTTATGTACTGTACTAGTATCTTAAAATTGAATTCAACAATACAGCAATAAGTTTCATTGAGGTTTGGTTTGATAATTACGCAGTATAATCTTTCGATAGTTTTAATTACTCAGTTTTAACACACAAATAGATGTAAAGCTGAAAATGAAAATAGAACAATGCAACGGCTTAGTTGAGTATTTTACTTAATGAGCAATTGAACAGCCAAGTTCTTTAGGTTATTTGCAAAGTGAAATGTAGAAAAATAGAGAGCTTTACAAAACGTTAACTCAACCATATCAATCGTATATCATTATGGAAATTTATCTTGTGTTGGAAGTTGCAATATGTGTATTTGGAATAATTGGAAATATTCTTCTGATCGCTGCAATAGTAAAAGAAAAGATTTTGTTAAAAAAGAACTACTACTTTATTGTCTTACATCTTGCGATATGTGACGTGCTGGTATTACCGTGTATACTCTTCAAACTATTCAAAGACGTCACAATTCTGTTATATTGTGCAAATTTAAATCACATTTACTTTCTTGTTGACAACAAGTGAAATTTCTGCAATGTACATCGTTTCAGTCCTACGTTATCGCAAAATAGTTCATCCAATGAAACTTTCCTTCAGTCAACGAAAGGTAAAAATCATTTGTGGTTTTGCGTACCTAATTTGTTTGGTTGTAACTGTTGCATATTACGGTGGCCGGTCCGGTTCACCAGAAAAATAATTTAAAAAACATAACAAAGAATGAGAAAACATCACTCAAAATCATACTACACATTTTAATATACTACACATTTCAAAATACTCATTTCATTAGTCACTACACATTTCAAAATACTCACTACACATTTCAAAATATTCACTACACATTTTGAAATACTACACATTTCAAAATACTACACATTTTACTCACTACACATTTCAAAATACTCACTACACATTTCAAAATACTCACTACACATTTCAAAATAGTCACTACACATTTCAAAATATTCACTACACATTTCAAAATACTCACTACACATTTTGAAATACTCACTACACACTTCAAAATACTCACTACACATTTCGAAATACTCACTACACATTTCAAAATACTCACTACACATTTCAAAATAGTCACTACATATTCGTCCCAGTCTTACCCTGGTCTGGCCTGCCCTCGGTCGTCCTTAGTTTCCATATACGAAATTGACGTGACGGCAGAAAGCTGATATAAATATACGCTTCCGACATTCAGTACGCGTAAGGATATTTCGATGCTATTGTGGCGATACGTGTACATGAACTATTATTAATATTTCTTCCAGGTATTTCTTGGTCTTGGTTAGACAACACAACATGAGTGGTCAGTCTACAGAATGCATGTAATTGTATTTCTATTGGTTATATTCGACAGTCATTAGTTTAACTAATGCACTTATTGACGTGACTGGTATTGAAGTTTTAAATTTATTGTTTTTAGTTGAAATTACCGAACTTTCATTTTCTTTGTCGTTTCTTGTGCAACCAATTATAGCGCTATGTGCAAATCTCTTATTTGGGTTTCTTGTTGTTTTTGTAACGCATCACACAAGTACGTACGCCACCTAGTGAATGCAAATTCATATACTCAAGTTTTTGCTATTAAAGTACGGGCATGTGTCGAAAATCACTGCAAATACAGTTGCTTGCGATATGTAGATCGTCTACTAATGCTATTGCACAACCAACTCCAGCAAACCCTGGAAGAATTTCTAATTAGAGTTCAGGCAATATTTTCATGCTTTTGTCCCAATGTCCCAATTTGTTTGTTAATATGTCCTAATAGATATTGATAATCATAATATATTCTTGTGAGCCAACATGGCGGAATCAAAACTCAGGAATTGTTGGTTTCAATTTCAATCAATCAAAGGGGCAATAAATAACAATAACGTTTGCCCACGGATATATTCTTTTGTATTTGACCTCCAACATGGCGGCAGAACAGACTGGCGAATAACTTAAATTAGTTAGTATAATTAATTAATTTTTTTTCCGAATAGGCCTTTTGCTGCTAGAGGTCACGTGCTTAGGTAACGCCATACTGGAGAGCACGCTTTCCATTAAACAATGGCGAGTACAAGGCAATTTAATATGTAAAGTAAATTTTCTTTGTTTTGTGGCGATTTCGGCTAGACAACACTAACATGGCGTCGAATCAAGGTATGTGACAAGCAAAATTTTTCATCAATTCTTTTCTTGACTTTTAACTGAAAAGGAGTAAATTTTCACTCATTCTCGAAGATTCCGCAAGTGTTCAAAATAAACTTCAGTGCTCAGCGACTTTAAAGCCAAAAAAAAGATCAAGTTACCACTGTTGTGTGCCTCTATGTAATGGAGATTCCAGATATCACCAAGACCTGAAGTTCCATCGCATTCCAAGTGCCAATGACGGCAAAGAAACCCGTAAACTTTGGCTGGTCAAAATACGAAGAGACGAAGGGCCTGATTTCAAGGTAGCTTTGTATTATTATAAAAAAAGCTCTTGCATATTTCTTCAGTGAATCTTAGATAGTGCATCATTTGTAAATAAATACGCACTAATGCTATGTTTTGTTTTAACTTTATAAGATATCAAGCAGCACAAGGGTTTGCTCGAGACACTTTTTAGAGGACGATTACCTACCTCCTGATAATGCAGGACGGTGTTTATTAAAAAAAGGGTCTGTTCCCAGCCAATTTGACTGGTCTTCAATGACTCCAAAAGAAGAAAACTAATTCGCACTTGTACTGGGTATGCGGAATTGTCAATAATAAGTTTATATTATCGCCTTCACCTGTACCTTGTTTCTTAATGATTAAAATGTTATTTGCTTTAGAGACACAAACTGAAGAAACTGCAATTGAAGAAACTGGCAGTGAAGTGTGCACAGTCGATCCTTTGCTAAAAATGCAAGAAGAGTTGGAAGGATTAAGATTGGAGGTAATTCTGAAACCCAAGAATTAAAAAAAAGTAAGGAAGAAACAGCTTCTGTTATGGAAGAAATGAATGCATTCAAGGCCCAAGCACACAAAGAAATTGAAAACACCAAGAAGGCTGCCGCCGAGGAGTTAGCACTATCCAAATTTGGTTTAGAAAGATTTTCAACTAACAATGACTTAGTCAGATTCTACACAGGATTTGTTTCTTATGAACACATTAAGGCTTTTTATGAAATCATAAAACCAACTGCTGAGAGAATGACCTATTGTTATCCCCTACAGGAGATAGAGAAAGTCGTCCAAAAGCACGAACCATGCTAGTTATAGACGAGTTGTTTATGTTCCTGGTTCGTATTAGATTGGGCTTATTTGAGCAAGACCTTGCTCACAGATTTAAAATACATATATCCACTGTTAGCCGAAAAATAGTTACATGGAGCAATTACTTATATTTCATGTTGGGATGTCAAGTAATCTGGCCTTCTAGGGAAAATGTCAATAATTACATGCCCCAGTGTTTTCGTAGGCTTTACCCAAGTACTAGAGTTATAATAGATTGCACAGAAATTTTCGTACAAACTCCCAGCTCCTTATTATTACAGTCACAATTATACTCAAGCTATAAAAGCAACACTACCCTTAAAGGTTTGGTTGGGATCTCTCCTCATGGGGCAGTCTCTTTTGTATCTGGGTTATATACTGGAGCAATCTCAGATAAAGAAATAACTAGGTGTTGTGGCATCTTAGATTTAATTGAGGAGGAGATTCAATAATGGCAGACAAAGGTTTTGATATAGAATATCTGTTATTAGAAAGAAAGCAATACTTAATATTCCCCCCTTCTTAGAGAGTAATGTTCAGTTTACTCAAAATGATGTTCAAAAAACCAAAGAAATTGCAAGTGTCCGCATACATGTGGAAAGGGCTATCCGAAGGATAAAAGAGTATCATATTTTTGATTCTGATATACCACTTAATTCATTGGGGTCAATTAATCAAATATACACAGTTGCATGTTTGCTTACCAATTTCCAAGGCCCACTAATTTCTGATCCTAGTAAGAATTAACAATTGTAAATATTGGATTACAGTTGTCTTGTCAAAAAGAATTAAATGTAGCTAAAAAACATGTAACAGACTATGACTATGAGAATAAAAGAGATTTTCACAAAATTGTAGAAAATTATCACAAGTTTACGACAATCACTTTAAAAAATATTGAAAATAAAAACCATCAACCTTATTTTTTGCCTCTTGAAAAAAGTCTTTGTTAAATTTAATCCTATTGCAAACAAAATGTGTGTCACTTATGTAGCTAAAAAAGTCACACCACTCAAGACCTGTCAAAGCTAACTGACACTGTACTTGGTAAAAGTAAATATCAGTGTTCTTCAAAATAAAGTCATTTGTAGCCACATTTTTTGAAAGATATCTAACATTAGCAAAGTCATTTTCACCTTCCTTGACAACTTTGATTTCCAACAATCCAAAGGGTTGCAACAACTCTCAGCTGCTTGTAGGTCATATACCAATCGGTCTGGACTGCAGCCCAACCAAGGACATCTGGGATGAATAATTAATCCAGAAGGAAATAGATTCACAGACCCATTCTTAGCAACATTAGCATAGGCCATTGCAGCTGTAGATTCTAAATCAATGCCTCTTTTCATAGCTGCAGTTATGACATGACGAGATGGATTGAGCTGTTTTACAAGATTTTCAAAATCCCTCGACCGTCTTGCAACAATCCCAAACTTACTTGCTGTGATTCTTTTACTTCTTAACATATGCCACAAACTGTTTGCACTTTGAGTGATTTTTTCTCTTGGATATCAAATGACTCTTCTTGAGTAATCATTATAGCATCTAAAGAAGCTTGTTGTTGCTTTGTGAGACAACTGGAACAATTATTCTTAAATCTCACTTCCGCTGAAGCCAATGGTAGTGTTGGAAAGTTGGTACAACTGAAATCATTGATAACATAGTCTTGAGAGAGCTTTTGCTGGTAAGAAAGAACACATCCTTTAGGAACTTCTCCAAATTTACTTTGCATAAGTGGGATACTTGCAAGGTTCTTTTCACTTGGAAGTATACTTGCTATTAATGGTTTGCTTTCAAAATCATCAAAATTTTCTTTTGTCATTGGTAAATAAACATTTGAAGGTGAATATAGTGTGCTTTTAATAAATTTGGTGAAATTAGCCCCTGCTCTTGGTTTTTTGACAAGCACATCTTGAATCTTCTTCTGTTCTATCTTTTTTCCTCTGGGTACACTCCATCTTTGAGGCATACTAGTGCATGTCAATGAATCGGGCAATGAGCGAAGACCTAGCTGTTTGCAATGGGCTAGAAAGAACAGCAATCCAACGACATGATGGCAGTATCCCCCAACACCAGCTACACATGAACACCTTGCAGAAATTGAACTGTTAACAATGTTGATCTTGGTTTCAAGTACATGTGGAGGCTCATTTTTCTTCATTGATCGATAGCATCGAGCATTTATGACAGCTAAATCATCCTTGGTTGTAACTGACAAAAGAATGTTAAAATATTTATGAGATCAAATTAATCACACTCTGAAAGTAAGCTTAGTAATTAAAGAAAACGCGAACAATGATTGGAAATTTACCTTTCATTTCATGTAAATATACAGGTTCAGCAAAAAACTTGTAGGCCTTTGCGGTACTCTGACATCCTGACAACTCTTTTGCATACTTCTCGACAAATGCAAAAGTCAAGTTAGGAAGAGAACTTATGTCTTTACTTTCGGTACACGAATCATCTGGAGAAGCATGCATAAAAACATGAAAATACATTAGATTAATCATTAATACCTTCCCGAAAGCCAAATCTCCTACTTGTGACTCATTTTTTGATTAAAAAAAGTCAAGAAAAAGAATTGATGAAAAATTTTGCTTGTCACATACCTTGATTCGACGCCATGTTAGTGTTGTCTAGGCGAAATCGCCACAAAAACAAAGAAAATTTACTCTACATATTAAATTGCCTTGTACTCGCCATTGTTTAATGGAAAGCGTGCTCTCCAGTATGGCGTTACCTAAGCACGTGACCTCTAGCTGCAAAAGGCCTATTGGTGACTCAGTTTCGAGGGTCTGATTACATGAGCAAGGTAGCCGGGATTCAGCGAAGCGTTAAATCATTTTGACAAATGGAAAAATGGCGGCAGTAAGGACGAGGTTCAAACTGCTTTGACCCTTTTTGTATATTTATTATTCTGTGCTATAACCTTCAAAAACTGTTCTAATTATGCTATTGCGTACATGAAGTATAACTACATGCAAGCTTCGTCAAACATGAAGATATTGCTTGGAGAATTAATGGCCGTTTTATGGTAGACTTACGCTTGGTTTCGATAGAGTCATCTACACCAAACTGTCAAAAAATTGTGTTACAAGACCTGACGTGTTCTCTAATGTTTACATTAGCGCCATCGCCGTCTCATCTTAGAAAAGCAACGTACTGTAGAGCTTGGTATATAAAAGCATTGTAAATGTACATTTTCACTTCCTGCAAACACGCAAGGCTACACAATGTAAATCAATCATAGAATCTCAAATGCTATGCTCAGTTAGTCGTCATATTTTTACACAGATATTATGATCCTTCAGTCATTCATCGTTTACATCCATTTAATGATTATTGCAAGCATTTATTATCTTTCCTACACTAAGGCAAGTTACAATTTAGTTGGAAAACCACATGAAAAATGTTTCTTATTGAAGGCTTCGATCTCTATCACTAGTAGCTGTATCTGCGACTGGAATAACGACGGCGACGACTGTAATAACGACGGCGGAGACCGTAATATCTTTGGCCACGACTGGAATAACGATGGCGGCGAACATAATAGAGAGCTTAAGCAACAACGTTTTATCCGACAACGGCGTCGTGAGAAATCGCGGAAGACTGGGACGAGCATGACGTTCCCGCGTATATTTAAAACAGTTAAGCAAAGTTCGTAATAGAAAGGGGCGGTAGAAAGTGAACTCTTTTCATGTCTTCGTTTAAAACAATACGAAACTTTGTCTTGTGCTTTTTGAAGAAGGTTACATTACAGAATATGAATTGATCATATTGTACAAGGCATATAAATCAAGGAACCCAGAGCTTCCATTCAAAAATTATGAGCCATTTTGTTTAGATAATCTAAGTGAGGATGAATGTAAAGTAGAATTCCGAGCCAACAAACACGGTTTGATTTTCCTCCAACAGAATCTTAGAATCCCTGAAATAGTCAAGTGTCCACAAAGGACAACATGTTCAGGACTGGAAGGGCTGTGCATTCTTTTAAATCATCTTGCTTACCCTTGTCGATTTTCAGACATGATTGGCAGATTTGGGCGACCAGTTCCTGAGTTGTGTATGATTGCAAATATCATCATTGACTTTATTTATAATTATCATAAGCAAAAAATTACAGAATGGAACCATGATCTTTTAAGCCCAGAATATCTACAGGTTTATGCCAATGCCATCCATGAAAAAGGAGCACCTTATGAAAATTGCTTTGGCTTTATTGATGGAATGGTCAGACCAATTTCACGGCCAACAAAACATCAGCAAATTGTTTACAATGGGCATAAAAGAGTTCACTCTTAGAAGTTCCAGGGTGTGGCATTGCCAAATGGTTTGATTGCACATATTTTTGGTCCAGTTGGTATGCTTATATTATTTAAATGAAAATATTATTGTAAACACTATATTGTACAAGCAAAAACAGTCTATAACTCAGGCAAATACTTTCTATATTACAGAAGGAAAAAAACATGATGCTGGTATGCTGGCTGACTCAAACTTCCTTCAAGACCTGGAACAAAATGCTTTTTCTGTGGATGGGAGACCATTATGCATATATGGGGATCCAGCTTATCCACAGAGGATTCATCTACAAGCTCCTTTTGGCATGGGGTAATCACAGACAGAATGAAAGAATTCAACAAGCAAATGAGTTCAGTTAGAGTGTCTGTGGAATGGTTATTTGGAGATGTGATCAACTCATTCCGGTTCATGGACTTCAAAAAAACCCTTAAAATAGGTCTAAGTAGTGTTGGGAAGCATATATTGTCTGTGCATTGTTAAGAAATTCACTCACTTGCATGTATGGAAATATAACATCCAAGTTTTTTCAGTTAGATCCTCCAACCTTGGAGAATTACTTTATAAGTAATTAATGAATGCCAAAATGACTCATTAAACACACAAACAATAAGCAAGTATGTAACTTGTTATGTAAATACTGACAATTGTAAGTGAGAAAGTTATTATAATTCAAATAACAAAACATTAAAAGTTCATAGTTACACAGATTGCTAAAACACAACAGTTAAGAATTCTTTCCTTGTAAGTGACAACACAATCTTACTTGGTTGTGAACCTCTAAATAATGTCAAGAAATGCTGTTGACAATTGCTGTTGTTGCTGAAGAAGTAAAGCTTGGCTCTCCATCATTTTAGATTTTGTTGTTGCATCATTTTTAAGACTTCTGTTTGTTGTGTAGCTGCTTGGATACTCAATTGATTTTGTATTTCTTGCTCATTTCGCTTTACTTCTAGTTCTGCACGACGGATTTCAATTTCCTTGCTTGATCTTTCTCTCAAATATTCGACTAATTCACAACTTCCGCGGCGTACTTTCTTAAGCTTAACATCTGAGTTTTGCCATCAGATCTTCTCTTTGTTTCGATTCGTCAAATCAATAGCTTGCATGCTTTTGAACTGATGCTACCTCAAGGAAGCTGTCCTCTTTTTGG